AAGTAGACATTGATTGATTAGCTTTTGTGTGTTTAACCATATTGCTACTGTATCTATATGATGCTTGTCTTGATAATAATAGATTATTTAAAAAACAATTAATTATTTTGCATCACGTGACCAGTTCTGTCACTTGCATGCATGCTGAGTAGTGAGAATAGCTCGACCTGCTAGTGATATTCAGGAAACAAACTCTCCAGAGCAAAAAGGGATATTTGATTTTCTTGTAAGTGTATGTGCCAATCAAGGTGACCGTGAAGCAATGGAGGACGACTTGGCTGTTAAGAAGCGTGAGGGAGGCGGTTCGTTTATGGCGGCAGTGTTTGATGGCCACGGAGGCCGCGGCGCAGCACAGTATGCCAAATCTAGACTGTTTCCACTTCTCGAAACCTCCTGCAGCCATGAAGAAAGTGTCAAGGAAGCAATGAGAAGTTCATTCTTAAAAATACATTCTGAAATGTCATCTGTTAGAGGTAATCAAATAATTTACATTAATTTGATAGTTAAGCATCATGGTCACAGGATGATTAATTTATGTGAATATGCATGCATACAAATTTTATGAATTTTGTGCATCTGCATAAAGGCTGGTTTACAATATGACGCTAGGCCTGATCTTATGTTGACACTAGCTCCAATTAGATTTGGTTCAATTCTAGCGTAACGCATTCATCAATTGGAAGGTCAAATCACCCACGCCTTTGATTAAAAATTGACGCTATGCTGGCGTAGCTGTCATATTGTAAAACAACCTTAGTGATTGTACAAAATATGGGTTTTATTTTAGCGAATGGCTATCAGTGCATGTGGATTCATCATGCAATTTCTCCCTATAAGCTCAACTATATATATATATATAGCATACAAAATTAGCTCATACAGCCAACCAAAATTTTATGATAGATTAGTAGCCAACACTTGTCATGGAAATATAATTCGTTTCTTCTTTTATAGAATCATGGACTTCTACTAGGGAAGGTTACCTAAGTACATCAGGAACAACAGCAACTGTAGTTGTGCTTCAGCCTACCAAATTATATATTGGAAATGTTGGTGATTCTGCTGGGATATTAGCAGTAAGAGGTCCATTTGGAAAACTTTTTCCAAAACCAATTACTGCAAATCACAGACCAAATAACTACAAGGAATGTCAAAATATAGAGCAACTTGGTTAGTTTTCTACCATTTTACTTAGTTATAATTAAGGCAATCTCCATGATCCAAATGTTATAGGCTCAGCCATTTCCAAGTTATGCTTTAAGGATTTTTGCTATTACACGTAAATGCCTAATTA